TTCATCTCAGTCTAGTTCAGAAGAGAAAGAAAGTACCGCTTTGCCAACACCACCAGTGGTACCATAGCATTTTATTGTTAAAGATAGACCTAACAGAGTGATTAGACCTTCATAGAATTATGGAGAAGCTGAATTGGTAGCATATGCATTGAATGTGGCTAAAAAATATTGATTCCAATGATGAACCTTCTACATATACAGAAGATTGAGTGTTCAAAAGAAAGAAAGGTACATTAAGAATTGAAGATGTCAAGTACAAGGCATTATTAGTGGCTAAGGGTTATAGTTAGATTTCGGGTGTAGACTTTATATATATGTTTTCTCCAATTGTAAAGCTTAGCGTTTTGCTTGGTATTTTGGCTAAGCATGATTTGGAGCTTGAGCAGTTGGATGTAAAAACAACATTCTTGCATAGAGAACTTGATAAGGACATCTATATGCAACAGTCAAAGGGTTTCATAGTTACCGAAAAGGAGGACTGTGTGTGCAAGGTAAAGAAGTCTCTTTATGGCCTGAAGCAGTCACCGAAGTATTGGTATAAAATGTTTGACTCATTTATGACTACTTACGACTTTAAAAGAAGTAGTTATGATAATTGTGTGTACTTTAGGAAGTGCGATGATGGGTCGTTTACATGTCTACTACTTTATATTGATGATATGTTGATAGCTGCCCAGGATAAATAAGAGGTAATGAAAGGGAAAATTCAACTTAGTGAAGAGTTTGATATGAAGAATTTGGAAGCAGGAAAGAATATTCCTCAAATGTAGATCTTGAGAGATATGAAGGTTGGTAGATTATACTTGAGTCAAAAAGGGTATATTTAGAAAGTAATTCATAGGTTTAATATGATGAGGGCAAAGGCTGTCAGCACTCTTTTGGCAACAATTGTCATCTATTTTTTGTCTATAGCCAGATAAAGACATTGATTATGTCACAAGTTCTTTATGCAAGTGCAATTGGATTGTTGATGTATATTATGATTTGTACATGCCTAGATTTGACACATGTAGTATGTACAATTAGCAGATACATGGTAAATTATGGTAAGAAACATTGGAAAACAGTGCAGTGGATATTCAGATACTTGTGTGACTCTACTAATGCTTGTTTTCATTTTGGTAAAAATACAAAGGGAGTCATAGGTTATTTTAATTCAGATTATGCAGGAAATCTTGATAAAATGAAATCACTTACAAGGCATGTGTTTATCATTGAGGGTTGTGCTATCAGTTGAAAAGCTACATTACAGAATACGGTGGCATTATCTACTATTGAAGTGGAGTACATGCTATTACAGATGTTTGTAAGGATGTGGTTGAGGGGATTGTTTGGTGAAATCAGTGAAAACTTGCAAATGTCTACTGTTTATTATGATAGCTAGAGTGATCTCTCTGACAAATGATCAAATGTTTTCAAAAGGAGAAAGAACAATTATGTGAGGTATTACTTTGTGTGTGATGTGATCGCTCATTATGATATTGTAGTAAGTAAGGTTGATACTAAGGAGTAAGGAGAACCCCGTTAATATGTTGACAAATACACTCCATGGTACCAAGTTTAAGCATTGCTTAGACTTTGTTGATATTTATTGTTGAATTCTCCTTTATGGACATGCGAAAGAGGTGGAGAATTGATTGTTGAAGAGTGAAGATTAATTCTTTACTTTGAAATTTGTGTCAAGGTAGAGATTTGTTGAATTGTGACCCAGATTTCATTGGGAATTAGTGTTTTTGTTGGTGGAAATTGGTATTTGGTTGAAGAGGTCTTGAATGAGTCCAAATATAGACTAAGGAGAAAAAATTAGTGCATTTTCACTCATTGAATGCCTAGAATAGAGATTTTGGCACTCGCTGGGGGCAAGCCTGTGCTCGAGCGCTAGTGCGGCCGCTCGCTACGCACAAGGCACGCCGCTTGAGCAGTCGTCTTATCCAACTGACCTGTTTTTCAATTTTTGACACGTTTTATGATACATATTCCCCTCCAAATATTGTTTAGGGGTTGTATATATATTCCATGACTTGTAGACTCTTCATAACATAAGAGACACATTAGATTTGGTCGAGAGTGCATTAAATCTTGTAACAACAATCATTGATCTTGGTTTTCTATCTAGGGAATTCTTATCTTCTGCCGGCGATTTTTTCCCATCATGAGTTTCCACGTAAAAAATCTTCTTGTTTTTGTTTGTGATTAATTTATTTCATCTTACAATTATCTTACTTCATTCATAACAAAATATTTACAACAATGGGCATAGTTTAGAAATGATTAAACTTTGTCATGGCTTAGCTTAACCACCAAAAAAGAAAAAAAAAATGAGAAAATCAATATACGTAGAGTGCTAAAGGGCATCTAGGTATCTTTTTGTTTCATTTATATCAATTTTCATTATTAACAGAGCTTTAGGCTCGTTCGTAGAGGCCAGATGAATATATAAATAAGCTAAGCTATCCAACCCACATGGATAGGGCCGGCCTTGCCCTAAGTGAGTGGTAACACTTCCATTTTGATCTGAACAATATATTTTCTTGCTCGAATCGACTCTGTTGATAAAAAGGAAAAAAAATTGATTATTTCGACTCATTCTTGTTGGACATAGATTCATAAAATTTAGTACACATTTAATTTGGTCGTTGGAAGCGTATGATGATACTAAATTTTCATTTGAATTTCATTCTTTAAAAATTCATTTTTTTCTAAATTTATATTTGGGTGTGTTTGAATCACATTATTTTAGATGAATGTATTTTGGAATAGTAGATTGATGGAGAATGTGTGGTTGAAAAATAAAGAAAAATTATTGATGTAATAAAAAATATTATTTTATTAAAAAAAATATAATTAAAAATGAAAATGAAAATTTTAATGTGACTCAAATATGAACTTAACTACATATTTTTTTCAATAAAATACACAAAATTTAAGAATTTTTCCTATTGCGGTGCACGGTCAACACTGGAAGACTAGTGTTGACTGTTAAAATTGTAAAATGATTACATTAGGACACGTGTTTGAGATCAATGTCATAATAAATTGGTAATGATGTTTGTAAATTAATGGGAAAAGACTTTTAGAAAGATGACAAAAAAATTCAAATAAAGTTTAATTTACTTATTTGGAATGGCATTATGCTGTCTGTATTGACTGAATTCAGACATATAAACAAACACGGCTTATGATGAGGTGTCTCTTTGGTCATTAAAAATAATTGCAACGTTTTAAATGAATTTGAACCAATTTTCTTTTGTTTAATTAAATATTTGTCGAAAACAAAGACATTATTCTTATTAAAATTCACATACTATGTTACTACGATCACATTATGATTAGTCATTATCTTAATTGATCAAAACTTTAGTGGCCATTAACCCAAATGAATTGTTTCCATTACATTTGAGTTTCTCTCTTCAAAAGTGTGATCAAATTCTCAAATTTTATTTTTTTTGCAAAAAATTAGAATAATTTAGGCATTCTCATCAAACCTGACAAAGCTGACGAGTATTTCTAGTTCATATAGACATTCTTTTTTTTTTGCACGAATTTGAAAATATAGACATTCTTATCAAACTAGGCAGAGTTGACAAACATTTCTAGTCTACTTATGTTCTCCCTTTTACGTTTGACACTAATTTTGAAATATTTGGACATTATTCTCAAATTACACAAAGTTGACATTGCTTCTAATCTATTAAAACATTCTAGTTCTTCTCGACTACTTTGTTTGAAGGACATTTTGATAAAATCATAGATGGTCATTTTACATGACTAAATGACTATATTTAAGAAATTATGACGAAAGACAGATTTCATTTTGACCAAAAAATTTCCCATACTAGGGACGATATTGCACCCTTTATGATGTGTGAGGAGGAAAAAATAACAAATTTTGATTTTGGATCAAAGTGCAACAAAGAGAAATGTTTGGAGACCTCAGCTACAATTTTTTCTTTACAAATGGCGTGCCTTGTTTTGTGCAGGCATAGTCGGTAAAGTCCAAAATCCATTCATGAAAACAGCTCACATTTCATTTTCTACTGCACAATAGAATCCAATGCTTTTAAGTCCAGATAAAAAGTATAATGTTAGTTGTAAAACCACTTACTGACAATGTGGGAATTAGCAAGACTCTTGCTGTTAATTTTATTGTTGACGTGGTAAGAGAATTTTAATTATAGCTCACATTTGAGTCACATTAAAATTTTTATTTTCATTTTTCTACTCATTTTCAACAACACATTCTTCAATAAAATAATATTTTTCATCACATCAATAATTTTTCCTTCTTTTTCAACTACACATTCTTCATCTAACTACTATTTCAAAATACATTTTTCCAAAATAATGTAGCTCAAACACACTCATAATTCTTTGAAACAATCATAAATTTAGACAATCATAACTATGATTTTTTTACTACATCAACAACATGAAATTTTTATCCCATCTAGGGATGGAAGATCAATTCTACTATATCCTATGACTAAATCCATAAATTCTCAATGTTGAAATAAACACAAATATTATGTAATCCCAATTTGAGTTCTTCCCAACATTTCTTCAATCCCCTACTATCATCATAGGAACAAGGAGCTACATTTCTTCAGTATGACAGCTTTCGTACTTTGGTCTGTTGAAACACATTCTACAATTTAGCTCCTCCACAATACTTTAGGGGTGGAGCCCTCAAGGTTGGGAAAAAAAAAAGGAGCTTAAATGCTAGGAAAGAAGAAGTAAAAAGTGACTTGTTTAAAATTTGAAAAAAAAAAAAAAAAATTCCACTTTAGCATTTAAGCTCAGCCAAACATGCTCTATATTAGAACACTAATTAACGGTGAAATTTCCAAGTAATGTAGAAGTGCCTTCTTTTTCTCGTGTCCATCTACAAATAGCCTGCTTCATCCTTTCACTCTTCACCCTCCCTGGGCCTGCAGCCTAAAAACATTATCAAAATCTACACAACTCTCTCACTTTCACCCAAACACACACAAGAAAAAAATATGGGATCAAACGGTGAAGAAAAGCCAAATTTCACACCAAAGCTTCTGCAATTACCGGCCATAGATTCACCTAAGCATTCAGGAACAGAAACTCCACCACTGCAGACTCCGGTGTCTGTCCCATTTAAGTGGGAGGAAGAACCAGGCAAGCCAAGACACTGCACTGCTCTCATTATCTTACCCAGTTCCAATACAGAACCCAAATGCTTGGAGCTTCCTCCTAGACTGTTCACGGAATCCTACACCAAAGTCACTAAAACACCCGATGGGCCTTATCTGGAAAGGCCTAAGTTTTCTTCATTCAGATATTTGAGTGCAAGTCCTGAGAGAGGGGAGCTTAATGATATGGTTCTTGGCAAGAAATGGCTCAAAGGAAAAGGTTTTCTTGATTCTTTTGGACTAAGGACTCCTACATGGAATGCTGGAAAAAATGAAGTTGATGAGGGTAATTCTGTATTTTCATCCTTCAGCAGCTGTGACAGTGATGAGAGTGCAAATACAGAGGTGAAAATTGGCAAACTGAGAAGGAAAGAGAGCTTTTCAAGCCTCCCACAGACTAGGTCTCACTCTCCCCTGTTGGTAAGCTGTCTTTATTTTTCATTCCTTAATTTTTGAAGGATAATATTGTACCGTAGCTCATTAAGTTCAAACAAACAATTTGGTCCGTCTATAGCTCAAATGAAATAAGCATTTGAATGTAAGGTTAGGCCGTTAAGGTACTCAAAGGAGTCATTCCTACATCGGTTAGATATAAGAAATACTAACCAATGTATAAGGAGATTTGACAACTCATTTTAACGATGATAGTCATTTAAAATGAAATCCTAAATCCCCGTAATTTTTTGTACTTTTTTTTACCAAATAAGTAAGTGTGATTTCTATGTTCATTCAATTGATATGTCTTTTGCTTTGTGGCTACAGGCAGCTATATATGAAGGTTTGAAGCAAGTAATGCCATGGAGGAATAGAAAATCAAAGAAACAAGTTGTCAATGTCTAACTTTTTCCCCAACTGTGTGATAGATGCTGTAATGCACAATGCTGCTGTTTCTGAATTTAATTGGATGTTTGGTGAATTGAATTGAACTAATGATTGTATTAGTGAAGAAAAGTAAGTTAAATTTGAGTCTATTCAATTATATGGTCTAGTACATAATACCTAATGCACTTAATATTCTCCATTTGCATATATTTGGTAAGTTGAATAGGCTAGTATTGAACAAAATATAAGGAAAATGTAAAGTTCAAAATTTCAGGAAATTTATAAATTGATATCTTGCTGTTCTGATTTGAGAACTTAGATCTCGTACAATTTATAATGTAACTAGAATTTTTGCAATGTTTAAAATTCAACCTAAGCAGGTTGAAGGCCGAAAGGTTGAACTAGATAAAATCGTAAAAATAAAATAAATAAATCATTGAAAATATACCATCAACCTGAGTGCCAGTCAATTTCAGCAGCAGTAGAACTAATCACCCAATTCGTTGACTTTAATGTCTTAATTTAAGTGTGTGAATAAAATAAGATGACGAGAATCTACAAATTGCTTATGTTATCTCAAAACTTATTTCTAAAACTATATTATGGGCATGTCGAATAGTCCAAACAGATAAAATAGTCTAAACAGATATCGAAAATAGTTAAAAATACGATAAACGTAAGTCTTAAAAAAAGACGTTTAACTTACATTTTTTTTTAAAATTCAATTATTTCATTAATAAGCCAACAGCTCACAAAATGTAATTTTTGCGATACAAATTTCTCAATATAAATTTCATCATTTTATTAGGAAATTTTATATGGAATATGATATAAAAAATTTTCAAATTTTTCATCTGAAAAAGTCATATTCCATGTAAATTTTTAGATGTAAAATTACATGGGGTATGATTTTTTTGGACGTAAATTTTCGATTGTAAAATTTCTCTCAAGTTCTTTATGAGTTCGATTGTGCCCCCTAACTTTTAAGTTTTACGTCCGCCCCTGTCAGACTGGATCAAACACAAATTGAGTGTGCTTAGTGGCTTTGATCTTGTCTAGAAGACCTATGATTTTGTAGCAAAGAAAGGTGTATCTTCCTCTTTCTTGTCTAGAACATCTCAAAATCGAGTGACCAAAAATGAAATTGTTTCAACCTATATATATATATAAAAAACACATCTCCCATGAAAACATGAATGGAAGACTCCTAGCTCCTTCCTACCATTTAAGTATATGTTCCATAGCGGGCGGTTTAGAGTGGCTCTTATGGTTCTAGTCCTTAATGAGGCCCTCTGAATAAGTAAGCTCCGCTCTTTCTAATTCCACACGCGCAAGGTGCAACATCTGCCTGAACGCGAAGAGGATTTCCCTCAAACAAAGATATGCGTGTCATGAAATGATATGAAGTCATCTCTATTTTGCTGTTTAGGGAATCCTTGATGTCAGTTGTAGGGCAAGTCTGGTGCTAAGCCTTTCCTCAAAGTGAAGCAACTTTCGCAACCCGGGTTTAGAACAAGAATGATGACCCCACTTACTTCATTCGATTTTGAATTATTCCAATTCAAAAAGACCAAAGAACCTTGTAGTGATTGAAGGGGACTTGTTCTTTGATCAACTACATTAGCGACACATAAACTCTGTTCATCAACCAGTAGTCATCCGACCCCTCTTGAGATATGTGTGAGAGAAGACGAAGAAGAGGAAACAAAGAGAGAATCCACTTCAATTAGATCCATCTCGTCTTGAAACCCACTAAAGAGACACCAAATCCTGAGCAAAGACCACTCAAGGGAGTCATGAACAAGGGAATTTTTGGTGGTGCAATGAAATGCACAGAGATCGAAAATACCGCCAACTAAAATTACTATGCTCGACTGCAAGCAAAAATCATATAGCCTAATTGACGGTAAATGTCTAAGGAATGGATTCATGAGTTGACTTTTCAAGTACACTCAATTCGATAACATCAGTTATAAACACTAAATGGGAAGAGAATGGTTCCTCACCCGTGACTTGCATTGTTTATCAAATTTTTCTAGGCCTTATGAATTTTGATTTTATTTTCCATCATAAATATGAGATGAGGAGCGAGATACAGACAAATACCCAATCTTCCACCACTGTCATTAGACCTGTTTGCAGATTTAATACCTAGCCCTTTAATAAGGTCCTAAGCAGTAGGAGATTACGTCATAGTTTTTATTCAATTATTTAACGATCCCATATGAAAAAGGCTCATCTTTCGAGGATCTGAGGTTCCAATGGGGAGATACCAAATAATTCTAGAGGAACCTAGGACCCATGGTAAGCATTCTGTGAATATAGTGGATAGATTGCCTCTTAGATTATCTTGAGATATCGATTCCTTCACACATACATTCCCTTGATGAGTATATCTTTCTTTAAATCATGTTGTTCAGTCTTCTGGTACTAAACTTCCATAGTTCCTATATATGAGTTTTTCAATGATGTCGATCCTTCATGTTCGCTGAAATTACATATCGCAAGTGCATGGATCACGTTCAAATAATAAAGTAAACTTGTGAGTCCAAGTTATCAATCAATTGAGGGATGTTTACTTTCAATTACACTACTTTAGTCTAATTAATTCTAATAATAAAAACAAACACACAATAAATTTTGAATTGAAAATAAGGAAAAATAACTAAAACTCTATAAAATAAGAAAACATAAAAACTTGAAAATTTCAAAAAATAAAGTAGTAGGGATTCATGATTTCACTTAACCGTCGCTTAATTAATTCTCCACAAGTAAATTAACAAATTACTCATTTATCATGTTGATCCGATTTTTCGATTTTAGCTAATTACCTATCTTGAGCAAAATTATCCATAATTGATTTGTTTAACCTACTATATCTCTATATTGATTAAAACCCAACCAATAGCATTCAATATTTGTGAAAATAGCTCAATGTACCACTTAGAGTTATGAGTATATATCTAACCCCTACAAGAACCACGGTATTTACTATTTAATCTAAAAAAAGCAATTTTCTTTCGAACGATATACAAATCAATAAACACAATTATTCATTGACCAAATAAATGAATAGAATGAAATTTATTAGTAAATACACACAAAAATGAGTATTTTAACATTAAAAAGCAAATATTGAAATTAATTAAGCTAGGTTAAATATTCATCAGAAATTCCAACACAAAAACTAAGCCCATTTTATATATTTGATAAAAAGGGGAGAATGTTCATATAATATACAAACTTGGGAGAAAATAGTGGTTTTAATAAGGGAGATAAACCCCTTTGAAGATGGCAATTGCTTGATCTTAATTTTCCCCAAATATTTCTCCAATGTCTTTGATTGATTCTCTTTGTGCCCTAGAATTGACCCTTAAAATACCAAGAAAGTGAAGAGAAAATGTAAAAAAGAAAAAAGAAAAGAAGGAAGAATGAAAAATGGCTAAATTTTTCCCTTTAAAATCCTAAAAATGGGCCCTAGAAAAATTGTACCGAGAGCCCTCAGAATTTCAAAAAACATCAAACAGACCCCAACAGAAGAGTTAGCTCACGCACCCTGAGAGCAATTTACCCTCTGCCTATTTGATCCATTAGCCCTCATGCGCCGGCTACCGAGTGCGTGTGCGGGCTTTTTTTTTTCTTTTGTTGTTTTGTAGCCAAGTCCTCTAGGTATTTGCACACCAGGTTCTTCAACTTTTATCTTGCACATTTTGGTCCTTCAATTTTGAGTTTCATTTAAGCTTTGCTCATCATAATTTGCACACAAGGTCCTTCAACTTTTAGTACCTTTCACTTTAGTCCCTGAATTCATGATTTTGTACACTTTTGGTCATTTTCTCTTCTTTTTGCTTTGTTCTCTTCCAATTGTCTGTGTTTACCTACAAAAGCCATAATTAAACAATTGTGAGTCAAAATTCACACCTTTAATCAATATTTATGCTTATTTAAGCATTCAATGAGTGTATAAAAACACACTTATCAAACACCCCTAAATCAACAATGTTAGACAACTTGTCAAAATATACACGAGTGTAAAATTGTATAACCAATTCACAGTATGCTTCCAAATAATGCTATTAAAAATAATTTGAGCTTATCTAATGTTCAATCAGGGTGTGTGTGTAGTCACTTTCAATCATCATCTAGACTCGAAAAAAATTGTCAGGATGGAAAAATTTTCAAATTGGAGCGAACCCGAACCTTTGTGGTCATATATTTCCTCTATTGTTCGTGAGATTTGCATACCTCAAATAGATGTTTATTTCCTTTCCCGAGGTACAAATCCAAAGGTTGTTCTCCAATCACAATTTTCCACTCTCGCTCTAATTTGGTTGGGTCAAATCGGCAATATCAACATCTAGTAATGTGATGATTCTTTCCAAATTATGAGTGTTTCGATATTTAAACTTATACTAAGTAATTTAAACCACTAACTATCTGAGCTCCAACATCAATTACAAATGCAGAATATCTGTTCAGATTTTCAATTAAAGCTCATGATTGACCTCACTCCATTAAACTTTCTTTTTGACTCGTGTAGCGAGTTTTATGTCGATAACTCCCCAACTTTTAAAAACCAAAAGGTACCTGATATCGAGATACCCGACGGACTGCATAACTCGAGTAAAAAAGGTTACGAAACAAAGCAAGAATCAACCAGAGCAATGCTCTTTTTAGCATGATAAAATAAACGAGACTTAGATCTCTACTATATGGTCATTACCTAATTTATACTTGTTAATCAAAGACATTCCACAAATATTTTCAACATGCATGGAATCAAGATATTTCTAGATAATCTCCTTCATCAACTCAAGCACTCCCAAACTTATCTCTCAATAAGGTCAAGTGAAAGATAAGAGAATGTAGGATTAATAGACATTTATGCATAAATAACAACCTAGTTCTACCAATTCAAACATTTCTCAATCGATAAAAAAATCTCCACAACTAGAAAACAATTAGTCATTACTTTGTGCTCAAAGTAACTCGGGATCTAACATGGACAAACCAATTTTTCAAAAAAAAATTAGACAAAAATAACATATTTGGTTATAGCTCACGAATCAATTAGAATTTTAAATATTAAAACATTCTTAGTTGGCAAGGCTATCTAACATGTCATACACAATCAACACAGTAAATAATCACCCCAAACTTGAATCACACGTTGTCTTTAATGTGTGAAAGAACAAGATAAAAGAGAAGAATGGGTAATGAAAGCTCCCCGGTTGGACATTTGGTGAAGGGGTACCCACCAATGCTCGACTTGAACTTGTGATGCTCTTGATGAACTTGAGCAAGTGGCCTTCTTGTACGTATCATTACAAATTCACCCCCAAACTTGTTGAGAACCGTGGGTAGATAGAACTTCAAAAATGACCTACAAAAATTGATAATTAATCAAATAAAAGCATGGAAATAAATAAAATTAAATAAAAAGATTATAAGTTAGAAAATTGGGTTGCCTTCCAACAAGTGCTTTTTAAAAAAATTATAGATCTTTTTTAAATAAAGTTGATGGGGTACTTCTATATTTTCATCCTTTAGCAGCTGTGACAATGATGAGAGTGCAAACACAGGTGAAAATTGGCAAACTGTGAAGGAAAGAGAGCTTCTCAAGCCTTCCACGGACTAGGTCTCACACTCCCCTGTGCGTAAGCTGTCTTTTTATTTATTTTTATTTTTTCATTCATTAATTTTTTTAAAGATAATACCATATTGTAGCTCATTAAGTTCAAACAAACAATTTGGTCCGTCTGTAGCTCGAATGAGCATTCGAATCTAAAATCATTGTACTCAAATGAATCATTCTTACATCAGTCACATATAAAAACACTAACTAAAATATAAGGATATCAGCAACTCCTTTTAATGAGGTTGGCCATTTAAGATTAAATCCTAGGTCTCCATAGTTTTCTTGTATTTATTTACAAATTAAGTAAATAAGTGTGACTTAAAAGTTTCCAAGATCATTAAATTGATATGTCTTTTGCTTTGTGCTTACAGCTAGCCATATATGAAGCAAGTAATGCCGTGGAAGAATAGAAACAAGTTGTCAATGTCTAACTTTTTCCACAACAGTGTGATAGATGCTGTAATGCACAATGCTGCCAGCAGCTGTTTCTAAATCTAATTGGATGTTTGGTGAGCTGAATTACTAATGATTGTGTTCGTAAGGAAATTTAGTCTATTCAGCTGTACAATCTAATACAATCAGTATATTATACGGTCTAGTAACGTATACAGAATGCACTTCATATTCCATATTTACGTACAATCTAATACAATCAGTATACTATACGGTCTACTGCTGTATACCTAATGCACTTAATATTCTCCATTTGCGCTCTATTTGGTAAGTTGAATTGGTTAGTATTGAACAAAATGAAAGGAAAAAAGTGAAGTTAGGAATTTCAGGAAATTTTAAAAATGATATTTTGCTGATATGATTTCACATACCATAATTTGACAACTCATAGATCTCGTACACTTCTTTATAATTTAACAATTTTTTTTGCAATGTCAACCTAGGCGAGTTGATGGTCGAAAGGTTGAACTAGATGAAATCAGAAAAAATAACTAAATAAATAAATCATTAAAAATATCACGCCAATAGGTGAACGTCAGGTCAATATCCACTTCTCAATAGATATGGAAGCTTAACCGTCGCGATCATTTGGGGGGAGCCTCGATTCAACTCGTCTCAATAGATTACTTGTAAAAAATGCAGCATAAAACTGGCATTAGTATGGAAACCATCAGAACAACAATCAACCATCAATACATCGAAATAAATAATTATCTCGACTGAAGAACAATTAAAAGCCATCAAACTATCTTAGTGAAATATAAACAAGAACCCACATATGTACAAGTACGAAGAAAACATGAACAAAAAACCTGTACATCTCACAAGGTTGGCAGCATCAACCCGACAGTCCATCCCAGTAACAAACCAGCACCAACTAGACCCAAGCCTAAAGCAAAAACCATTGCGTATTTGCTAATATTATATCGATAACGAGGTTTCTTGGCCCATTTTCTCCAGGTAGATTTTTGCCAGGTCTTACGTATTTTCCTAGTTCTTTGAGGCACCCGAGGTAACACAGGCAATATTGGCTGGCTATAGTTGTTCTTCATCTGGATATAAATGTTCTCGAGTTGCAGAAGATGGAACCACTGCTTATAAGCAAACAGCTCAGACGCCTGTCGAAAGACTAGCTTCACAATGTGCTCTTTCTCCACACGAGCGAGTTTTTCTGCTTTCTCAGCTTCCCGAGCACGCGTCTGAGAGAGACGTAGTGCTTCCAGAAGTTGAGCCTTGCTTGGATCATTCTCATATGCATTCATTTCAGGTGACCCTTTTTGAGTCAGACTGTCACCGTTTTTCAGGTCAAACTCCGTGATAATAGAATTTCGAAATTAAATAGGATAAAATGTTGATGCAAAAGAAAAATGAAATAAATGACATACAACCAAATAATTAGCTGCTAACAATGCATTTGAACAATGAAATAATGCAAATTAGGAAGATTTTTTACTTTCACAAGTGTTTTAAGATCTCTGAGATTTCTTTATCTCACCATCAATGCACCCCAACAAATAGCATCTTGTGTATTTTGTTCTTCCTAAAATCGATTCTAATATACTAATTCCACAAATGCTCTTTTAACGATTGACAATTGGATAAGGAACAACAAAAAATTATTTATTGAACCGTTGGAATAATAACAGCCCAATACAACATTTGTCTCTGATTGTAACATGTTCAAACTCCACACCTCAAGCCATTTGGCTGTCATAATCTATTTTTCAAATTCTAATTTCCCAGCAACAGGAATCTGATGCTTAAATCAGTTAATAACTCGAAACTTCTAAACCTAAAGGTTGATCTATCAACCAGTTAAGGTGGTATTTTCTTTTCAGAAAGATAGCTAGGAATTAAGCCTCAATCCCTTCTTACGAGAGCAATAATAAATGGAAATGCAATTAAAAAACAAGCAAAGCATACACAGATTTTAGTAGTTCAACCTCAATGTGAGATCTAAGTTCATTTGCTACTGCAGTATCATTAGGACTCAAACAGTCCAACACAAATAACTTGATGAACTAAAACTACTTACTAATAGGGATCTTTCTATAGAGTTTTTAAAACCATACAGTAAGCCAATGAAAGGATTACCAGATGAAATAGGTTGAAACTGACAAAAGTACAGGCAAAGACAATACCTCATTGATTTGTTTGCTTTGGATAGTGGTCGACATTCAACTGTTGCCCAGTGTTTTTTGCAAGCACTTTCTGCTTCAAGGCTGTATGGTGTAGGAACAGTTGAATTCTTGTTACTCCCCGTGTTGGGCCTCAGGTCTAATGACGACTTGTAAATTCCACCACAACTAAAACCGCATACATTGGTATCGAGGTTTTTCCTGACATGAGTATTCTGAGGATGAGGAAGATCACAATTTTCTATAACATCAAGCGACCTTTGAGAAACCAATAAAGTCAATTCTCCTGTATCTGCAGTTCGCCACCATGGCACATTTTTCTCGGCCCCAGTCCAAGGTGACTTTGAATCCAAAGATAGCTTACTGGATTTCTTGGGAACTTTACAATCAACAAAATCCGTGTTGGTTAGTTCACCAAAATCTATTGCTTCGTGCTCAAAAGGATATCTGGTATTCTTGGAGTACAAAGAACTTAGATCTTGCTCTTTGACTCTACAATCTTTCTTCTCACGAGTTGCGAACCCGCTAGAGTGATTATCAATGGAAGATTCTTGGTAGGCAGTTTCATTTTGTGAGTAGGCACTTGAGCTTTCATGAGTTTCAAAGGTCTCCATATTCATCTCCTGGAAGTTGAACTGCTCAATCATCGAGCCCTTTTGATATCCACAATTTGGTTGCAGCTGCAGCCACCATCGTGAACTGGGGGATAAATTAAAACATGAAGAGTTCTGATTAAGAGGCAGACAAGTTATGTTAGGAATATCTTCACTGTCAGCTATATTTGTGGACCCTACATCATCCGGTATAACCGGTGGGGCTGTTGTCGAGCAGCAAGCTAACTTTGGAGCTCTTTTGGCATCCTCTTGGACCAAGTATCGGTTAGCTGTTCTCTGCCAAGCAGCCCTAGCTTCTGCCAGCGCCATTACTCACCCATTCTTCAGCAAACTTTATCATCCAAAAGAAAAATCTGTCAGACAACTGGTTTCGAAATTCAAGAGTGTACGTATAATGAAAGAGAAAATTAGAAAATTGTAACCAGACGAAACACAACCTATAACGGACAGACGTGAGCATGAACTCAGTACATTTCATCAAAAAGTTAAGATACAGAATTTAAACATATAATGAACTTAAATCATAGAACAGAACAACTTGAAGCATATAATAAAACATGGGCATTTTTCTCTCATTACCAGCAATAGTGAGAAATAAGGAACAAAAAAAGTCAAACCTGCAGAGATTGTAACTGTTTCTTCGTAGAATTAATTCTTACTTAAAATTGAGGATCTCTTTTTTTGAATTAAATAACTTATGAAAAATATTCTCATTCTTATTTGGTGACTTGAAATGAAGAAACAATTATCTTGAGAAAAAGAGAAATACTGCAGTAAATAATGTGTCTATCATGTATCAACAATATAAGCCAAGCGTCAATCTCAATAAGAAAGCAAGTTCTTAATGTTCATACAATATCAAAAATACGAAGTCAGCATCCACATTTTAACAAGTAGATAAAAAAGTTTTGCTTGCCATTTACATAAAAGTTCAAATAGAGCCAACACAGGCTGTTCAAAGTAAAAAACGATACTTGGCACTTTCTTTTCTCCAGATATCTCTTTTTAAATATTATATAACAAAGATCGAAATCGCAAAAATGAAACACATGGTACACGTCTCCAAGAGGACAAGAACCAATTCAATAAACTAACAACTCACATAGCCTGTTGATACCAAAATCCACTGATTCACATATAAACCAAGCAATTTGTTGATACCAAAATCTAATAATACACATCATGAAATTATCAAATTATGTACCCAATGTATCCGATAACACTAATGTTACCCTTCACAACTCTAATTTTCTTTCCCAAGACACTAATAACCTTAACAAATTAGTAAAATATTAAGAATTATATTACAGACAAAAATGAGAAGAAAATTCAATACTGATTTGCCAACAGTTCAAGATAGATCATTGACTACAAAATCCATAATTAAGCTACTTTACACGAACAGAAGGCAAAAACCCAAAGTTCTTTGTATTCTACAGTCAAGATATAGTTATTGCAGGGCAATTATTCATATTATTACTCAGGAAATTGTCAACTTATTAACTTAGTTTTCATAATTTAAACTATTAATCACTAATAAGAACAGAAGAGAAAAATCTCTTCCACCCCAAACAATCAAAAACCCACTGTTAATCGAAAATAGAAAAAGAAAAAGAAAACTGGAATAGAACTCAAGAACTGTAATACATATACTTGAAACAAAATTAGCTGGCATGTAATACGAAAAAGAAAACAAGACAGACCTGAATAATAATTTAATTGGAGTGGATAAGATCATAAGAGAAATAGAGAGATGGGCAAATGGGTTTGGATCTGAATTATAATTTGTTTTTGCTTCTGTTTGAAGTTTTGGGTTTTCCTCGGTGTCTTCTTCTCATTACAGTGCTGTTGTAAATGTACTTTCACACGTAGCCATGTCGTATAGATTTTTTTTTAATTATTTTTTTTCCCCAGAATCTAAATGGAGTAAGCTTTATCTTGTTCGTCGTTTGTGCCGGCATTAACTTGCAATTTTGGAGGGGGTGAACCATTAGCTTTCCTTTCTTAAAAATCCTCTTTTAAAGTCGAACATTAATCCTAATTATAGATTATGATCATATTTGGCCTACATTATTTCACGCTATTGAAATAATAATTTTTTTGAGAATACACGATTAAGAAAGAAAAAAAAATTTTTAAATTTACGTGTAATATTATTTTATTAGAAAATGTATAATTGATCAGAAAAAAAATTATAAAACAGAGGTCAAATTGGAGCTATATAGAATTAACAAGTACGAAAAATTCTACTTTTGAAGTCAAACATTAACCGTAATTTTAATTAGATGAGATAGGATTCTCACAAGTACGGCGCTGTGAACTACTTATTTTTTGAATTTTTTTTAATAAAATAAAATGAAACCAGAACCACTTTTTTTTTTATCCGAAATAACTCTGATTGAATTAGAATTACGTCAAACTAGCATATGTAATTTGATTTTTAATTAAATTATATTTCATTTTGATTCTTAAAATTTATAACCATGCAGTTTTGATCCATATTCGGTTCTTGTTGGCACGATGAAAATTTGATTCCTACCAAATGTGTTTTCTTATTATTTTAAAGGTAATTAGAAGATAACGTTCCAACCTCTTTTATTGTTATTGTGGAAAAAGTCAATACCTTCATTTTTTAGTATTTTCACCCTTATTTTCACATTTCATTGCGCAAAAGGTCATTTTCTCAATTAAAAATTATGAAATGACCCATATATCATTCTCTTTAAATAAAACAAAAATAAAAAGAAAAAACTAATTGTAATCACAGTCCTAATTTTTTTTTTTAAAAGATCAGATAAATCACAAATAAATTATTAAAAAAGTAATTAGCACATAATGTCCATACCTTTTTTTTTTTTGCATTTTCACCCTTAATTACACATTTAATTGCGCAAACTATCATTTCTATTCAATTTCTCAATAAAAAACTGTGAAATGACGAATATATCCTCCTATTTAAAAGATAGGGGCTTTTTTGCAATAATATGGAAAGGTAGGAATATCATGTGCTAATTACCCTTTTAATAATTTATTTGTTCAAAAGAATTTGAGACTACGATTGCAATTAGTTTTTTTTTTTTCGTTCTGTTTTATTTAAAGAGAAAGGCATATTGGTCATTTCATAATTTTTAATTGAGAAAATAGGTAAAAAAAGGACCTTTTGCACAATGAAATGTGAAAATAAGAGTGAAAATGCCAAAAAATGAAATGTAAGGACTTTTTCAACAATAACAATGAAAGGTGAGGACGTTATGTGCTAATTATCCTTATTTTAATTATATTAACTACTAACTGAATTTATATTAATTAATATGTATTCAAAATATTCAAACACTCCTCGTGCTTGAAAATAAAAAGGCATCAAAGCGGAACAAAGAATTTATGCAACGTTTAACATTTTAGATTTTTTTTTTTTAAAGGAGAAAAATATGAAAAAAGAATTAGATAAAACAAAACGAGAATCAATCAATTTTGGTCCATGTCGATTCCATAATTGATAATCGAACCGTTTATTAAATTTTACAAAAATAAAATGATTTTAGTCTTTACTAGAGACTTACAAGCTGACGTACTACAACAATATTCAATATGATTGTTACCACTGAACAAGATAATCGATAAATTAATGGACAGTAAAAAATAAGAATTTAAATGGTTTTGAAGGACTAGGACCACCTTTTCTTTTCTATGCAATCGAGGAATTGGTGGATTTTTTTTCTCATAAATATTTTATTTTTATAGATAACGATAAACAATGAAAGTGACCTATGAAAAGACAAGTGTTACAAGTAACATAATTTTCAAAGTGGGACAATCTTATTTGTTGTTAATCATGACTCACCAGCACTCAATTTCGATTAATTATTTCTTTTATATGTGGAATTAATTATATAAATAAATTTCAATTATATCTTGAACATGGCTAAACTAGGTAGAGAAGATAATAGTACAAAGGATGAAGTTTACTAATTAAAAATGTTTTTTCTATGCTTAAAGGATTATCAAGAAGAGTTATGCTATTTGTACAGGACTTGTACGTGCAAGGTGGAATCTGTCCCCTTGCCACAAAGGGAGAAATTGACGTATATGGTGGCCTCGTACAAATAGCATTTTTGCATCGAGAATAGCAGTTCAAAAAAATTAGTGTACTAAACTATGTTTGAGTCACCTCAAATTTGTACCTTAGACTAACACCTGTTTCAATGTTTCTTGTGGAAGTCATACGCTCAAGTTAGGTGCAAACTCATACAAGAAGACAGTATGTTTCTTCTTTTTGGAAGGGTTGTTCCTCAAATAAAGCCTAGTACACAGACAACTTATTAACGTGTGCTTTCAGAATGAAATAATTCCTTTCTGAAATCACAAAGAAAAGCTTATGCATTGACTTTTTCCATTGTCCAAATTTTCTCCCCTTCAGCACTCTGTCCTGCTGTATAAGTTACCCTCTCATTGCTCTTCAAATTTAAATAGTCAACCTTTGAGCAAGACATAATCAGTAAAGGTCAAAGAGTCATCAAGAAATAAAAGCAGAGAAAAAAAGCATAAAAATTCAAACCTGATCAGGATCGAGAACGAGCAGGCAAAATACACTAACTGGACCAGTTGAAGGATCCAAAGATGGAACCGGAGATGGTTGTTCATCCACAGAAGGAATTCCTGAAGTAGGAACCAAATACTGTAGTCTTGACTTAATAGAACTGGCAAACCAAGCTTTCTCTCTTTGCTGCATCATTGATGACCATGACATGAGAAGAAATCGAATTTTTGTAATGACCAAAAGTACAAGCATGGAATATCTCAGACAACGTAACAGCTAAAACTGCTGTTGTCCATTAATAAAGTTACACTAATGTATTAAGTTTCACCATCAAATGTTTTAGCGTTGTTTTTAAGGCTAGCTCACGTGATTTGCACGAATTCCAGATGTACTCAGTTAATTCATGTTCTGACTCATGAAATTCCAATTCATTTCAGAAAAAAATGACATTTTTACAGACAATACAGAAATTACAAAGCATGGCACACCAAATACACTTATTTTATTCGTAAGGGCAAATAGGCAAATACATTGGATGATAAAATATTTTAATTATCTATAAAAGAAAGACACTCTCAAACCAAAATTTCAACTATTGCAACTAAATCTTAATCTCAAGAATCCATTAATCCAATCATATAAGTGGACATTCAGTGCATTTGATATTTTAAGTTTTTTGTTTAATAGTACAAAAGTAAGTCGGTCACAAGCATGGATAAAGGAGGGGGATTGTGCTAAGTTAATAGTCAGCACCAAGCTTAGTCAATTATTACATCAATCATTACAAATGAGCCGGATAGAGTGGCAAAAGAGCATTAATGTAGCTGACTCCAAATTTATTAGGAATAAGGCTTAGCTTCTATTTATTTGATTATACGATAGTTACTTCAATTAAAGATGAGGGCCAAGTAATGGGGTAATGTTAGATTGCTATTTGAAGTAAGATCAATGGCTGAAGTTGAGAATCAGAACTCATTTTGCAGAACATTGGATTTATAGTGACATAAACACATACGTGCAAAGAAAATGAGAATATCTACAATTACCTGAAGTTTTAGAGGATCGGGATTCGATCCATCAATGACATCTACTTTTCCATTAATTCGAAATTGCTCCCAAGAGTCAGTAAAGTACCAACATATCTGAAAATATAAACAGATGAACTGAAAGAACATTTTGCAATGCACAACCAATCAAGTTGCCCAACCAATGTAATACACAAAATTTTAAGACCGGAATCCTTTATGCACGTCTATAAGGAAATGTGAAATTCAGTACCTCTGCGAATAAACAATGCTTCAGATCATCAATCTGCATTGTTCAAGTTGAAAATTAACATAATTCAGTAAAATTCCTATTACATATCCTTAACTATGCAAAACCAGCACAATTTACAGAAAAAAGATTAAAGGCCTATGTGACAAAGTTATTGATAAAAAGTTCTAGCAAATTTTGATAAAAGTTGATCAAATGTGCAGCTGAAAAGTTGATAAAATTTTAGCAATTTTTTTTAATCAAACAAACACTAAATTTGGCATGTTATAATAAAAAAATCAACACGGACCAATTATGTATCCATACAAATTAGTTAAATATTTCAACCCTCATCCAATTTTGGGTCTAGTCACGGATTACTCACCGAACTCCAGAATTCTTTGCATTGATCACTCACCTTTAGAGCATTGCACTCTATCACCCATCCAACTTTGGGTGTGGTAACAGGGTTACTCTCCGAATTTTTGAATGCTTCATGTTGGTCACTCAACATTAGGGGCACTCACGAGCTATGATGTTTGGCCTCGAGTATAGGTATCAGGTACGAGTACATATCTAAGTGTCGGATATTTTATTTTCTAAAATGTAAGATACGGGAATATGGCTAAAAAGAGTCCAAATTTCGGATACGGGCACGTGGATACTTCTTTCAAATTTCAATTTTTTTACTAATTCAGGATATCATTCTGAATAGATCAAAATTAATTATTTACAATGAAGGAAATGCGTATTTAATAAGGGATTAAGATTAATAAAATAGAATTTTGAAGTTTAGTTTTCAATAATGAAAATTATTAAATGTTATATAAAATAGAAAATGAAGAACTTGATTGTAATTTGAACTTAGTAGAGCAGTATGTAACACTTTATGGAACCCATTTTCATTTACACAAACAAAACCCTAAATCACTGATATATATATATATATATATATATATATATANNNNAAAAAAAAGAAGGGAAAACATAGTGTCGCCGTCTTTCTCTACCCTCTTAACGAAGAGGCTAGGCTTATAGAGAACAAAACTGGGAAAGAAGAAAAGGAAAAGAAAAGAAAAAAAAGAGAAGAAAGAAGAAGCAAAAACGACGAAGTTTGAAACTTGGAGGATCCGACACATATCCCATACCCATGTCGTGTCGTGTCTGACACGGGTACTCCAACTATTTCGAAGAGTCCGAGCATCAGAACTCACGAGTTAGATGTTTCAATACCCACCCAACTTTGGGTTTGGTCACAGGGTACTCACCGAATTTCAGAATGCTTTCATTGGTCACTTAATTTTAGCGCGTTGCATTTCAACACCTACCCAACTTTGGATGTGGTTACGGGTTACTCACTGAATTTCATAATGTTTTCCATTGGTCACTCAAATTTAAAGCAGTGGCATGCCAAAAATTGATTCAATGGATTATGATAGCACGATATATATAAAAGAAAATAGAAATAAGATTATAGAAAAAATAACAAAAATATTGCAATTTATAATATCGTTAAAAGGTGAAGATCACCGAAGCATTGTAATATCGGTAAAAGGTCAAAATATTATCAATTGTAATATTTTTGTGAAGCATTATGAAGTTCGGTGAGTAACCATAAGCACACCCAAAGTTGTGTGACTGTTGAAATGTAACGTCCTAAATTTGAGTGACCAATGGAAATTATTCTAAAGTTCGGTGGGTAACCAGTGACCATACCCAAAGTTGAGTGAGTGTTGAAACATTTAACTCGTGAGTGGTGAAATGCAACACTCCAAAGTTCATTGACGAATGAGAAGTATTCTGAAATTCAGTGAGTAACTCGAGATAACAACCAAAGTTGGGTGGGTGATGGAGTGCAATGCTCTAAAGTTGAGTGATCTTGAAGAAATCAACACCGACTTAGATTAAAAAAAATATTTAGCCAACAAAGACTAAAAGAAGCTAGAAGAAATCAATTGCTTGAGATTTATACCACCGCCATGTATGGATATATCTAAATGGAAAGATCAACCACCACCGACATACTAGAATATACTAGAAAGAGGAGACCACCAACGTATCACTTGCGTAAATATGAGTTCCATCTATCTATGATGTGTATTGAGTGAAGAGAGAAGCAGAGGAAAAGAGAGACAATAGAGAAGAGTGATGTGAGAGAGATAAAAGGCAGTAATTTAGTGTGAGTAGTTTTCTAAATTAAATAAATTAAATAAAAGTGTCGAAGTGTCATTTTGTTAAATTTGTCACAATAAAATAACTTTTGGTTTTCAAACTTAACAATTTGGTATCAGAGCTAGACGGTCGGGGATGAATATTTGAACTTCTAGAGTTCGTGCACAAATTGAGATTGTTAAGCTTTCATGAAACTTGCTTGATGATAAGTGCAATTTGTGCACTTATTTGGATCAAATTACTAAACTTTTATGTCGTCAAATTATTAATTTTTACTTAACTTAGGTTAATTTTCTTTTGTTTTAGTTATGGATTCGTTCGAAGCAATAGGAAAAGAAAGAATGCCGACATTGAATGAAAGCTACAACTTTGGGGACTAAAGTCTACATTATAGAAATTGAAGGATTATATTACATTAATTCTACAGATGGGCCTGAACTTGCAATTGGATTAGCAATTCTATTGTCACTTGAAATTCTAAGTTGACTAGAGCTCAAAGGGGGAAATTATATATATACACACCCATGCATAAATAAAAAAGGGGGAGACGGTGAGACGGGAAAAAAAAAGAGAATTGCAGGGCCGCAATAAAAACAAGGAAGAAAGAAAGAAAAAAAGTGAACAGAGAAGAGGACGCCAACGCTGTAGGAAGAAAAACACAAAGAAAAGAAAAGAAAAGAAAGAGAAGAAAGAGGAAAGAGAAAAGAAAAGGAAAGGAAAAGTCAAAGCAGCAAAAGGAAGAAAACGTGGAAGCAATAGAGGAAAAGGAAAAAGAAAAAGGAAAGGAAAAAGAAAAGGAACTACAAACACCAGAAAATTTCATGTTTGGTTAATTTTTGGTGATTTCTTTCCACTTTTTCTTGTTTTTATTCTTCCAATATGAATAACTAATTTTTATATTAGGAAAAACAATCTAGTCGACTTGTAATCCTTTATTTTTTTTATTCAAGATTTCTGTGATTTATTTATTTATGTGTTGATTTTATTATGAGTTTAATGCATTAAATTATCTGATCAATAATTTGATGATTATGTGAGTTTCTTACGAATNTTGAATTACAATAAATGTGATCAATAGATGATATTGTTATGCCCTAATATTCATCACATATGTATTTCTTCAATTATCAATTGTTTGCAATTTTTTTTATATTTTCAATTAGTCAAAACTAGTTAAAAAAAAATCACAATCATCATAAATATTTACTTACTTTTGTCAAATATGAGTTAAGAAAAATTAGATTAAGTCCTAAAGTATAGTCCTCGTGGGAACACTAAAGTATAATCCAGACTCAAAGGTTCACTATATTACTTGTTACGATATCGTACACTTGCAATATAAAAAAATGCAACACTTGATTATGATGAGGTAATTCAAGTCACGATGAGCAATCTACAAGTGGTGATGGAGTAAAGAAGCTCAATAATCACAGCTATATCCCATGGCAAATTTGCGGGGCAAAACTTGTGAAAAGTAGTTGGTGGAAGTTACGTGACACCGCCGGAGGAAGCCGTAGCTCTTAAAAACTGGAAAATTAATGCAGGCAAGGCTATGTTCGCTATAAAGACAATAATCAAGAAAGAATTATTGGAGCACATAAGAGAGGAACATACCAAAAGAAGCATGGGACACTCTGTCCACACTATTCTCAAACGAAAATGATCTGAGGTTGTTGCTTTTAGAGAATGATCCACTTTCGATTGCTCAAGGAGAATTCACGATGAGTTAATATTTTAGCAAAGTTAAATATCGCTATAGCGAAATTTTTGAATTAGATTCTGAGTAAGATTTCGAAGTTCAGAATGAAGAGAATAATTATACATAGAATTTAGAGGTTTTATTGCTACCATACAAGATTGGCCAGGGCAACTGTTACTGGTCAATCTTAAAAATTTTTTGGTCGACTAGGAAGTATTGACCAAACAAGTGCTAGGGGTAAAAAAGAAGCACTTTATAGTTATAAGAGAAGAGGTAAATTCCGCCAATAAAATAACAAAGAATTAAAAGAAGATAAATTTTAAGGGCGGGTTGAAGGAAGTTATCAAACAAGGAGAACTCAACAAAATTGCGACAAAGAGGTTATAGACATCAACAATCTAACGGCTCGTACTTTGTAGGTGAAAAACAAGGCCATTATGCTAGAGATTGTTGATTTAAAAATGAGCCAAGAGAAGGTAATGTAACAACATCCAACAAAGAAGAGATATACAATATTGAAGAAGAATGGGATAGTGAAGCATCTGCATTAATAATTGAGCAGGCTCGAGAAAAGAAAATCAATTCAAATTATAGAGAATAGTTTATTAGACTGATATAGAGTTATTCACAAAATGGTGCGGATTGGGAAATATTAGCGAAGGATCGAAAGAGACAACCAAAGATTGAGGTACGTACAAATCCACAATCACAAATAAGAAAGTCAAGAAGAGATGAAAAATCAAAAATCAAGCATTTTAACCTAGAAATAGATTAAGAGAAAGTAAGAAAGAGTCATATATTTGAAGTCGAGAATGCGTTGAACGAAGGACATATCAATTCAAAACTTGTTGAGTTTGAGGCGAAGTTGAGCATTACGAAAAAAAGGTGTGTTAAAATGAAAAGTCGATGTTGAAGTGGAGAATTGAAGAAATCAACACCGACTTGGCTTAAAAAAATTATTTAGTCATATCCTAGATTTTTCCTACGCAGGCAACCAAGACTAAAAGAAACCAATTGCTTGAGATTTATACCACCGCCATGTATGGATATCTAGATGGAGAGATCAACCACCATCAACATACTAGAATAGACTAGAAAGAGGAGACCAACGACTTATCACTTGTATAAATATGAGTTCCATGTATCTGTGATGTGCACGAGTGAAGAGAGAAGCAGAGGAAAAGAGAGACAGTAGAGAAAGAGTGGTGTGAGAGAGATAAAAGGCAGTAATTTAGTGAGAATAAGTGTTCAAGCGTCATTTGTATAAATTTTGTCGCAATAAAATAGTTCTTTTGCGTTCTCCGAAGTTTGATGTGTTACTCGCGACCACACCCAAAGTTGGGTCAGCGTTGAAATATTTAACTCCATAAGACTCTATGCACAGAGTTGAAATCAATGAACCCAACACACGTAAAAAAAAATTAAAAAAATCAGATCCTACATACTGATTAAATTAAAAAATTGAAGTTAATATATTGTCAAAGAGATGTAACAGGGCACCAAGGGAAAAATAAAAAGAATAAAAACCTTTCGAATTCGAGAATCGGTGTTAATTTGAATCTTGTCGCTGTCATCTTGGAATCCTCTGAAAAAAAAAAAAAAGCCCCCATGAAATTCCTGAAAGTCTCAAAATTGTCCACTTCGTAAAGATAAAAATTCAAACCTGAAAACAACAGTGCGATTGGAAGGTCTACCATTGGATGCAACAGTTGCCTGCGGATCCAAGAACCAAAACAGAAGTTTAGAAAAAAGCGATTAATGGGCAATCAAATTGTGTGTAATATGCGTACAAGTTGGAAGTACGAAGAGTGTTTGAGACGGGAATTGGAGTGGATTGAGTTGACAAGAAGCTGCTTCCATGGCGCCGTTGATGGGCTACTCATTTGCAATTCCAACTGCTTCCTACCCAAGGTGTAGGATTGTTCCAAGATTTAAAACTTCGGAGAAGTTTTTTTAATTTATTATTAAAATATTTGGGTAGTTTGTCACTTGGTTGTGTTAAACGTGGACAATTTTTATCCTTTTCCTCAATGAGGAAAAAAACGCCAACGGAAAAATGAGCTGAAGTGAGAAAAGTTTAGGAGTGGTTCTCTTTATGTTTCTATTTTAGTTCTGAGTTTCGAATTCATTTTGTATTTTGTGTTTTGAGTGTTTATTTTGAAATTATTGAAAACGTGTTCTTTTTGTCATTTTGTAAAAGCATTTCTCAAAACATTTTCCCAAAAAGTGTTTACATTGTTTCATTATTTTTCGTTCTCACAAACCGACCACCACCCACCATAAAATGAAGCCAAACTCCGATGAGCTTCGGCTACCAAAGCAGCCGGACATTACCACCGGTCGACAGCCTTCACTTCAAACTTCACATACCACCAAACTGAACCCAATTCCAATAACTACAGAGCTACACCTGAATTCGTGTTCAAATTTTGCTGCCTTCTCAACTGAAAATTGCCGGAAGTTAAGATTCCGGCCACCCCCATGGTCAGAACACACCTCCAGACAATTCCCCAACACCAAACGACCACAACCATGCCACCAATTCACAGCAAATAACAACAGAAAACTTCATTTGCAATCTGAAAATATTACCGGTCGCGAATATCGCTACACTGGCAGCGAAGAAACTAAATTCCAGCGACGACAGGGACACCCACGATCATGGACCACCTGGGCTAGGTCCCTCTTCAATTGGCGCACCTAGCCCCGGTATGGGTCCTGGTCAATTTCGTCTAGAAGTTGCTGAATTTGTGGGAGAAATTAAGGTAGTATGCGAAAAATTCGGTGAGTTTGGCTTCATATTTCTCATTATGATTGAATTGTTGTTTGTGTGGTAATTGAAGAGGGGATTGAGGCGTTTACAATTGTGAGCCTGTTTGGTACAAATTTTCATTTTCTACAGTAAATCAATTCTCATTTTCAACCACACATTCTTCAATAAAATAATATTTTCCATCACATCAATACTTTTTTCTTCTTTTTCAACCACACATTTTCCATCATATCACTATTCAAAAATCAATTCTTCCCCCAAAAATCCCTAACAAACACACTCTGTATATTAATCCGGCTATTTTGGAGGAGATTGGTCGGAGTTTAGGGGCTTGGAAAGTGGCGGTGGAGTGTGGTTTGGCAGTAGAAAGGAGGAAGTGTTTTGGCCGTTTCTCGTGTTTTCCAACTTGGTGTTGCGTTTGTGAAAAAAACGCCCAAAACGGCTTTTTGGCCGTTTTCTGTTTTCTTCACAATTTTTTTTTTTGTGTTTTCGAAAACTCGTTTTCGAAAATGAGTAAGAGAATGCGTTTTCACTATTTTGAAAAATCGAAATAGAAAATGGTTTGAAAACGGCAAAGAGAACAACCTCTTATTAATTTAGAACATCTTAAACCCAACTTAAAAATGACGTAAAATTTTATGCCATGTTTGGAAATTATTCTTTCAAAATTCTTTTGTTGTCAAACATATTTTCTAGGGATGTGTTATGTGTACATAATATATGTACATAGGGGTGTCCATAACCCTTGCTATATGTAAATCCTGATTTACACATTGGCTTATCGAATTTACACTTAACACAATCTCACATCATCTTTCACATGTTACACATTTAATCAAACTATTATAATACTCACACATCATCAATCTGTCAACCAAGATATACAAATAGCTTAATCAATTTCAATCACACATTCTCACAATAAAATATTTTCGCGTAAATTCAAAATTTTTCTCTAATTTTTAACCACACATTCTTCAAAAAAAATTACTATTTAAAAACTCATTCTTTACAAAAAAAAAAAAGAAAAGAAAAAGTTGTCAAACTAGGGCTTAATTTGTTGCAAAAATAATGTTTCAATTCGACTAAAATGTTTCACATCAAACAGAATAATGGACAATGTTGTAACATTCATTTGGTGTAATATATATACTTTTAATTATTTCTTATTTTATCCTTCATTTTATACTACAATAACGTTTAGTTTTTATTATATCCTTTAATAATGATGTAGTTTTATTTATATTATTTAATTTGATTATAGTTTTTATTAAAATTGATAATAATTTGTAATGAAGTAATAATATTAATTACTAAATACATTAAAATAAAAGTGTGATCTTAAGACCGTTTGATCCCCATTTTTAGCAAACTTTTGGAAAGTGTGTGATTAAAAAGTATATATTTTTTCGGGATTATTTATTCACAAACTAAGTGCTACGGTTTTTTAATTTAGGGAAAATTTCAGCCAAGGTACCAAATTTTACATTTAGTTGTAAATTTTGTCTAAACATTTCATTTGTGTCACCCACAATACCAAACATTTCTAAAATTAACACATGGAGTCCAAATGGATGAAAATGGTTAACACGGCCTTCTTCCCCAACACCCTCACACCAAAAGCATCAGCATCAGCGGGCGACGCCACTGCCACTGCCACCAACCCCACGTTGGCACCACCACTCCTTCCCCAACACCGTCTTAATACTGCCAAACAATTACACACCTCAAAATGAATCTTTCTCTTCTCCAACATGCTCGTAAGATTAAACTGAAACTCCTCTTTTTTTTTTCCTCCAACCCTTATACTAAAGAGGTGTCTACAATAATCAACTAAATTGTAAAATTAAATTGAATATCTTCTTTTTCTTCTTTCTCCCCAAGATAAAATGTTAAAAAGTCAACAAATCTCGTGGGATTTCTAGATTGAATTGTTTCTGAATCCCTTCATGATTTTTCTCAAATTTTTTGATATGACAGTGAAGTGAGAGAAGTGTTGGGATTGCAAATCTATTTGCTACCGAATCTGCTAGAGATTTGGGGCGAGCGAATGGAATAGATGAAAATAAGTACTGGCTTTAGAGATTTGGGAGCGAATGGCTTCAGAGATGAAAATAGGTACTGGGAGGCTAATTGAACAGTCTCTAAGAGGTCCGATGACGACGAGAGGAAGAGCGATGGTTTTGTCGATTTCAGATTATTAAAATTATAAAGTTACCATTTTACATTTTTTATATTTGGTCAAAATCAATTACTCTAGTCAACTAACGGTCAAATTAATGATTTCCATCCATTTGGACTACGTGTGCTAATTTTTGAAAGGTTTGATATCGTAGGTAGCACAAATGAAAGGTTTAGGCAAAGTCTGTAACTAAATGAAAGATTTAGAGGGTGTTTGTGGAGGATTAAAATTAGATTTTTAGTGGATTGTGATAGAAGTTTTTAAAAAATGTAGTTGAAAAGATGTAGGACTCATTAAAGTTGTGGTTAATATTGGTTGTTTGATTTTGACTTAGATTAAAATCAGATTTTAATTCGGCCCAAACAGGCCTTTAGTACCTTGGCTATAATTTCCCCTTTAATCTTATAATATATTAAAGAAGGATAGCTGCAACAGTATTCCCGCCTAAAATGCTGCCCCAATTTCCCGCCC